GCATGTGAAATCCATGGCACCAATGTGGCAGGGTTAAAACACCACAGTGATGACTGGAATCAGCAAATACTTAAACATGCATTTTGTATATTTACAGAGTGAATGTAATAATCAACTAAACAAAATAATACTTCAACTGCTAATTGTCTTGAAGCGCTGCCAGATTAGCGACTTTGAGACAGCATTATAAATGACATTGGAAAACTCTGGCACCAATTCACAAACCTCTACTCATACATAACAAAGGCCAGAGGTTTAGAGCATCTACAGAATAATTGCTGGTGTTTTCTGCAGTCTCATTTCATAATCATACTAAATCAATTCTGAGTTGAAGAAAAGTGCTGAGAATTATTGCACAGTCTGTTTTTGTTGGTTGTTTATTATGTACACAGTAAACCTAAATTTCTGAATTCCTTTATTTGCTAAGTTGTTAATCTGATGACGAGAACCAACTGCCAAGGGCATGCCACTAATTTATTCTGCCTAAGGCAATGCCAATGATCACTATAGAAGGATCAACTTGATGGACACATTGACTAAAGACTATCCACCAGATGTGTGACTTCCTAGGCAGCTGCAGAGTTCATCTCAGGCCAACCAGAATGACTTAGGTTGTCTCTTCCCCTGTAACAGTAGTTGGGAACTGGGGCCTTCATACAGATTTGATGACTCCCAGCCTGAGCCCAGACCTTTTAATTAAAAAATGACACCTAGGGAAATGCTAAAAAGTTCTTCCAAAAAAAAAGTGGCAGTTAGCAACACAATTGTCACAATAGTTTTTTGGATCTGAATAAGGGACCATTGGGACCATTCTATCTGGAAGTTGGCTTTGCAGTGATCTCTGTCATGTCTTCTTCCAATGTACACATTAGATTAAAGTGGCAGCAGAAAATGAAACTAGCCATGGAAGGACCAGAAAATAAGGTGACAAACATATTTCCCACCTTGTTAAGAAGGATGCAACATTACGTTCATACCTCTGCACAGTGTGGGAATGAAGCCAGTCTGTTAAGCTAGCCATCACCTGCAGGCTGAATGAAAAAAAATCCTAATAGATTCCTTCATTCAAGCTTTATAGGACAGATAGATGACTCTGCAGTACCAGCTTTTGTATTTTGACAGCCTGTGCTGGCGGTTATCAGAATACCCGAGAAGAAGCTGCATCTGACTGGAAACAGCCCCTATTTGGCAGAAATGTTCCACTTGGCTCTGTCTATTTTTCAATTAAAGCAATTCTAAAGGTTATTTTTTTTGGGGGGGAAAATAACAAACATATCTATACTTATCTTCTGTGTGCAGTAGTTTTGCACAGAGCAGCCTGGATCTTCCTCTTCTTGGGTTCCTTGCATACTCTCCTGGCCCCTCTTTCCTGTCAGGTGCTCCCACAGCAAACAGCTTGCTAACGGGGCACCCGCTGCTCCGTGTGTCCATTCACACACGGAGCCGTGGCTTTACCCCCCCCCCTCCTCCTCATTGGCTGACTGGCTGTGATTGCAAATCCAAACAGAAGTGGGTTGCTGCTACCTGTCAAATATATTAGGCTTCAAGCATATATACATTTACCATGCCCAGCTAGCAGTCTCCATCTGCTTATAAGTACAAGTCCAATTCCCAGGGTCAGTAGGGGGCCCCATGAGATGCTCTTGGTACCTTTCATTGGCTTTTTCATAGGCTTTTTTGGGTGTGGGTGAGGACACAGGGGCCCCATGATCCCCTATTGCCTGGGGGCCCCATGAGTTGTCAGTCCACCCCTGATAAGGACCCATTGACACCACTGTAGTGCAGTAACACATTACAGGCACTGATGTGCTGCTTTGCTGTTCATTGAGAATGGCAGCCCAATACACTTTTACAGTGCAGCTGTGTTGCAGTGCATTACATTGTGTGCAGGCTACTGTAGCATCAATGCAGCAGGTCTGAATGAAATGGCATGTGTTAAATAGGTCCTGACTTGTGTGAATTTAACCTTTAAGAGATAGCTGACCTCACTAACCAGAGATTTGAACTTTCCTAATGTGATGAACAATCTAATTAGCAAATCTGATAAACCAACAGCAATTTCAATTTTTTTTTATTTATTTGATTATATGCAAATTTAATTTTTTTCCAATTACGCTTCATGAATCACAGGTGCCTGGATTCCTGGACTGCAGGATACAGATCAAACAGATCTGCACACAAATATTCATGCAAACTGAGCAATATGTGAAATGCAGATTCTCCTAGTTAACTTTTTTTTTCTACAAGTAGCGGTAATGTATTTTCATAATTGAACACCTTGGGTTTCTGAGCTCTCCACTCTGGAAAGAAGCTGAAGAAGAAGATGTCCACTATACATTTGGTTAATAGAATAAGAGTCACTCAGAGATGAATTAAGAGAGAATGGGGCCCTAGGCAAGGAGCTTTGGCTTCCCATCCCATCAAATGCTTTTAATAAAGATTGCATCAGGCATAGAGGAGCTGCCCCATTTGTATTGTCTGTACTGGTATGGACCCATCAGACATCCGCTGCATTATAAGTGAAGAAGTATCTTAGGTCTAGCTCCATCAAAAGATGGACATTAAGGTATACGTATACTTATTGTCTGCCTTTTGATGCAGTTTGACCTATTTTTTTTAAACTACTGGGATGTGTATGGAATATCCAGGCAAAATATAAGCTGCCTTGGACTTTTCTGATTTACAAAAATCCATTTGGATTTTAAATGTATAGGAATTTTAAATGATATCTGTGCACACGATTAACTTACAAACAGCCAGTTCTATTGTCTTCAGCATGATCTGAAAATTGTTTATAAATGGCTGACTCTGGTGCAGAAATGTCACCAGCCGAAGCCATACCTAGCAGCTGATACCATGTTATACCACTATAAGAAAATCAGAAGAAAAATTCTGTACCAGGAACGATCGGCCCATTACCAGATTGATAGTATAGTGCTATCAACAGCCAATTCCAATGTTCAGACGAAAAAAAAATTAAGGTGAAAGTTTGAACATTTTTATCCTACATTAACACAATGTCCAATTTAGCTCAATGTGTACAGTAATCATACAGAAATAATTGAATCGAAAAAAAAATGCACATGATCAGAAGCAAAGAATGACCCAGAAGAAGGTGGTAACGAACATTTGCCTTTGTCATTTGTGAATTATCGTTCAAGTTAATGCCATTGTCGGTTACATCATGGTACGCACCTCATGTGATCGTTTGTCCGATTTTCTCACAATGTGTACCCCAGTTTAAGATCCTGATGTGCACCTGTATGTCCATAGCTGACCATAGTGAATTACATTTCAAATTTATTTTAAATAAAAGGAATTGTTAAAATGTCTATACATCAAAAGGATAAAGGTATATTTTTGTTGTGCCGACTTGCATCACCCCTCTTTCTTTTTTATACATTTCAGAAACATTAGTGAAAACATTTGTTACTAGCAATTTGTTTTATTCTTCCATCTCAATTAATGACCCTTGAAATAGCAAGCTCATCTGCAAGATGCTCCAATTGATCTTGGTTGGTGCATTTTTACCTCTGTGCTTGTTTTTGTCTATGGCAGTTTAATCCACCCAACATGATGTTAATTATCATTAAAAAGTAGTTAAAGCAGGATCAGCTGCTCCGCTCTAACCAGATCCCTGTGGACCTATTATCCAAAGTGACCAATCTTCATTTGGATCTTCTATCTGACTGTGCATGTGGCACATCGGTTTAATGATAGATGTTCATATGAATTATGATGAAGGTATTTATATATATATATATATATATATATATATATATACACATTTTATATATACACACAGTAAATAAATATAAATAATAGTTTAAAAATAAATAAATAATAATTAAAACAAAAATATATAAAAAATTATATGAATATATTTGAAGAGGGTGGGCAGCATCAACAGGCAAAGATAGTAGATAGTAATATATATATAATATACAATGAATTATTTGTGTAGTGTATTACCGACTACAAAATTTAAGACAGTTTTTTTAAGACTAAAAGCAATAATAAAAAAAAGGGAAAACCAGAGATTTTATTAGTCTAGACACAGAAAATAACTGGTACGGAAAACACGACTTTCAGAATAAAATATAACATATAAAACTGCAACACAGGCGTTTTGTAATTTATCGTGATTTAAAAAAATCTATTTTCGAATTTAATCTACAGACAGCTCTGATTTACTAAAACTGCTCAAAATTCTAATGTTGCTTCCATGTAATAAGGCAAACTGGAGATGATTAGATATTGGTTCTTTAGTGCATTTATCAAGCCATTTCCTTTTTACAGATCGTTCAGCAGCACCCTCCCACATCTTCCATACAGGAAAGAACTCCAATAGTTTTTATTACATTCAAAGGGTACAGGAGATTACATTGTACATAGTGAGATTCTCTGCCCCTGTGATGTAATAGTCCTTATAAAACAGAACTGTTAATCATTATTAGATTATTATTGTGAAATATGGTCTGGAGAATGGAGGCCTATTGCAAGCTCTGCTTACGTAGAAATAGTAGGGGGTCCAATGGATCCCTTCCATTACTAGTTTACTATATATCAGGTGGAATGCAGTTATTTAACCCATTGCCCTCCAGAGGATTTACCCTTTTCCCTGACCAGGCCATTTTTTGTGATACGACGCTGCGTTACTTTAACTGACAATTGCGTGTTCATACAATGCTGTACATAAATGAAATGTATGTCATTTTTTCACACAAATAGAGCTTTTTTTGGTGGTTTCTTTTGGTCTGCATTTTTTAATTTTTGTACTAATAAGAAAAAAAAAAAAAAATCTAATTTCTTCATAAATTTAGGCCAAAATGTTTCTGCCACACGTCTTTGCTAAAAAAAAACCCCAATAATTGTATATTAATTGGTTTACGTGAAAGTTATAGCATCTACAAATGACGGTATATATATACTGAAATATCTTTTTTTTAATGGTGGTGATCAGCGATTATAGCAGTACCAGGGCGCGGACTGACAACTCATGGGGCCCCCGGGCAATAGGGGATCATGGGGCCCCTGTGTCCTTGCCCACACTCAAAAAAGCCTATAAAAAAGGTACCAGGGGCATTTCATGGGGCTCCCTACAGACCCCGGGCCCTCGGGCAGTAAAGTCAATGAAAAGTCAATGAAGCTCTTGCTATCTACTAAAATTAACTTTTTAAGGGTCTCTAGTCAGGTTGTGTGATGGCAAATTGAACTGCGTCCTTCAGAGAAATCAATGTGGTTTTGCTTGTATACTAATACAGCTTATTTCACAAAGAGACAGCCTTAAAGCTAAACTACATTGGTAATTTTTAGTAGCTCAGTTGCTCTAATTAAAGTAGAACTCTTGCTTCCCAGCCAACCCCACTTCCCTGAAACTATCCCATGCTTACCATTGTTTGTATAGTTTTTAGGCCACTCTTTCCCTGGTAGCAGTGGTGCAGGGGCGGACTGACAACTCATGGGGCCCCCGGGCAATAGGGGATCATGGGGCCCCTGTGTCCTTGCCCACACTCAAAAAAAGCCTATAAAAAAGGTACCAGGGGCATTTCATGGGGCCCCCTACTGACCCTGGCCCTCGGGCAGTGCCCGAGTGCTCAAATGGTCAGTCTGTCTCTGAGCAGTACTATGGTACTGCAGCGAGCATTCTGATACTGGGAGGAACTGACTAACTGTCACTAACATCCCCAGTGACACTAATACAGTGAGCAGTGCTAATAAAAAGCACTGACACTACTAATGACACTGGGCTGGAAGGGGCTAACATGTGGGTCGATCAAAGGGTTAACTGTGTGCTGTGTGTGTTTTACATTGTGTGCTTTTTTATTTAGGAGACATGCTGCTTTGTATCTCTCTGCTGTGCAGAGAGATACAAAGCAGCATGTCCATGCTGACAGTGGAGAGACCTGTGTTGTCAGCTTTGCCAAAGATCACTGAGTGCTGGCCTGAAATCACCAGCCGGGACCCAGTGATTGACATCCTCAGCTGCCAATTTCCCGCACAGCCAAACGCCCCCGACCTGGAAATGCAAATCACACATATATATATATATGTGTGTGTGATTTTGTGCAGCTGTGCCTCCCTGTAGCAGCAGTTCTGCTATAGGGCGGATGGCAAGTGGTTAAAAGTGGTTGTAAACCTCAGATATAAAATATGAACAAAGCATATCCCTCTATAGTGTGTACTTGTCTCACTTGATCACTAAGTGTTATTTCTGTCTGCTTCCTTATTTCTCTGCTTTCAGCATTAATCACTTGTGATGAGTTTTCCTGACACCAAGAGCAAAATCGTGACAGGGGTGGGACCTCCAGCAGGTTGACAGCCTCAGCTCTGTTCCTGTGAGCTGTGTGGAGGGGGCTGTGTCTCTTCCCTCCAATCAGCTCTCAGAGCTCTCCCCACTAAGCTCTGCAGTGTGTAAATTCAACTACCCCCCCCCCACTTTCTGAAGTCTCAGACAAGCTTTATAAACTGAACTTTAAATGGCTTTAGAAAAACGTAGACTGCAGATAGACATGTACAACTTATATAGGAGGATTTGTTTTTATAGCTTAGTATCTTTTGAAGCCAGTCACTTCACTGGGTGTATGTTTATAACAAGCTACAGAATAGCTATCGCATTTATCCCAAAATGTTTCCAAACAGACATGGTACATATGTGAAATGTATATGAATACATATAGTATGTTAGTTAAACCATAATGCCTGCTTTATGCATAAAGCTTTTACAGACTCTTACAGACTACCAAACTATGCAGTACCAAACAAGAAAAAGGGGAGATAATGTCACATTTCTTGAGCTGTAAAAGATCATTTCAATATCTCCCAGCTCCCTCTCCCCACAGTTCTCATACTAGAAAAAGGAAAAAGTATGTCTCTCTCTCTCTCTCTCTCTCCATAGCGTCTGAACCAGGCTTGATCCAGCATGAGGACTGTAAGGGAAAAGGAGACCAGGGGATAATGAGATGAGTCACAAGGCTCTTTACAGCTCAAGAAATATGACATTATTACTCTCCTTTCCTTGCTCGGTAGTGTATACACCAAAAAGCTCTACATATAAAGCAGGTATCATGTTTTATTTTAATATTTCAGTTTAGTAGTCATTTTCAAACACAATCACATGGCACAAGGGATGTACAGTACCTTCTACTAATTCAGCTGTGCCTAGATCTAAGTGATGTATAAATACAGCCCTTGACATATATGATCAATAAAAGAATGTACATACAGTATATAGTATATGATTTTATTGATTGCCAAAGATTCCATTTAGAGATAGTTGTCCAAAAATAAATTAAAGCAGTATTAATCCCAAAAGCAAATATTTAATTCTTAGATGTCAGGCTGCATTCATTTACTTTTTTAGGCTTCTGTTTCCTTATTTTCAGCTGGTAATCTGGCCAGTAAGTCTGCTGTTTTTCAAAAGAACAAGCTCTTTTCCACATATTTCAGTTACAGGGGTGAGACAAACCATATAACACTGACAGGGGTGCCTACAATGATCAGCTTTTATTTATGTATGTAAAACCTTCATCCTAAAAGGAAAAAAAACTGTTGTAGTGTGAGATGAAGTTTGGATTCATATTGTCCGTATACAGTACTATAAAAACAAAAAACTAGTAATTGCACTTGCATCAATAATGACCTGCAATCATGAGAACAATGACCAGTGTTCAATGTAAACTCCAGCCTTTAAACAGTTAATTAGGTATTTGCCCAAGTTTTACAACTCTCTAAGCCAACAGGGAACTGGTGGTCATAAAATATAACAAAAAAGAGAGAGCTCAATGGTTTTGGTGCAAACATAACTGATTACTAACATTTATAGGTAAAGTTGATCCAGGGAATATCCGATTGCCTCTTAGGGGATCTGGAAGGAATTTTCTTCCCTGCAGGAGCAAATTGGATCATGCTTTTTTGCCTTCCTCTGGATCAACTGTGGGTATAGGATTATAACTTTTTTTTTTTTTTAATGGTTGAACTGGATGGACTTTTGTCTTTTTTCAGCCAGACTAACTATGTAACCATCAACAAAGAACTAAAAACAAACACAAACAATGTTGCACTCACAGACTTGATACTTGTGACAGGCTTTGTTTATTTTGTTATGTTTTTCAATTTGTTAGTGTATCTAAATCTACCAGTCTGTTTAACTCTCCTCTCCCCCCAGACTGACAATGCTGCTGTCCAAAGGAAAGAGCCTAAAAAAAAAAAACTAATGCAGCCACCACATCTAAGGATTAGTAAACTGCAATATATTAAATTTATTGGTTTTGGGATTAATACTGCTTTAATAAATCTGATTATTTGGATGACTGGACATGACTTTTATGTAATGCATTGTCCTTGTCTTGGGTATTTTATTAGACCGTGAGAAAGTGATAATATGCCCCCAGTTCCCTTACATTATTTACCAAAAAAAAAAGAAGACAGACCCAATGTGTTTCCAATTTACACATTCTGCTTTGTCTTATTACTGAGATGATGTGAGCTTTTTACACCTAGTTTTTTAACTGTCGGGTGTTGTAACATTCTGGTCCTCTGAAGCTGCCTACCTTGTCACAGTGCAGAACATTAGTCTGGTCATTTATGTCACCCACTTTAATTTTATGATGCACACACAAGAAAAATGTATCACTAATGACACAAATGAATGGCAATTTAGTGACAGTAAATCATACCTGTCAGTGGGATTGTCAAGGCAGAGCAGAGGGGAAAGCTCGATAGTGGCAGTTGAACTCGGCTGGAGTCACCCTGATAGGCCCTGTCATTTCTTCCATTCATCAAGACCGGCCAGGCTTCCTGGATGGGTAGGCAGATGGGGCAGCCCTTCAGTGCAAACACCTGATATGGAGCCATTCGTCATCTGATAAACATGATGGTTCAGCAGCAGCTGGCTTTCTGCTCTGCAGCCTGACTACACATGTGATGGACTGGAGCCAGAGAAGCAGGCCTGGCCTTCCTACAGACCTCTGATAGGATTTGCAGTCCTGTGCTGGACCAGGGAACAGGTGGACGCTGATAGAATGAAGCTATGGCCATGTGTTGCCAGGATCAGAAGTCATTTATGCTCTCCTCTTCCTGAACACCAGGCAGACTGCAGTCACTAGAGAAGGACATCTAATAACACAATTCCATGTGAACATGTAGTAGACGGCCTTTCTATGATTAAATCTAGCCACAAAACTAAATGAATTTATTACAGTTTAACAAAATGCATTCATTTACATGAATGCAAAGAACAAAGTGAAATATTCTGCTAAGGCAAAATGCATCATTTGCATACATGAGGTTTAATGCAAATTTATATAAATCATTGCCCAGTGCAATACAGAAAGAAAATAAATAAATTGGAAAACATTATTTGTGCAAATACTATATTATGTGCAGAACTTCAGTATGAAATAAGTGCAAATATACTGTATATGCAAATAAAATCCTTAAATTGGGCAAATCCTTCCATTCAATCTCCAAATATTATTAATTCCCAGGAGTACAACAATAAAGATAAGTCTAAACAGAAATCCTCAGTAGGGATCAGTCATATGACCATATTAGGTCAATGACATCACAGACATCCCCGTCTCTTTGGATATGTGCAGCTTCAGGACAGAGAATGCCCTGGCCACAGCTGCTTTGGCTGGTGGGATGCAGTTATGTGACAGCTTCCAATGCGTTTTGCCAAACTGAGATTGGACCAAGTTCAGATTTAACTCAACCCCTCCCTGAACCTCAGCAATGTGAATCAATGTGTAACATATGCAGGTGTTTCTTTTGTCCAAACAAATAGAAATCTTTTCCTCCACCACAGATATAACCCCATTGGAAACAGACTCACCAAATGGAGATGACCAGTTACCGGAATAAGCTGGTCATAGAAGTGCTGTTATTAACCTCCCTAGTGGTATTCCAGAGTGTAGCTCGGGGTAAAATGTCAGTACCAAAAGCGGTAACCCCGAGCTACACTCGGGCTTACCATACGGCGCTGCATAGGGATTCCCTGCAGAGCTTACCTTGTCCTTCGCTCCCGCGATGTGTCCCCTGCAGCATCCCCGGCCATCTCCTCCGGCCGATGCCAGCATCCGGCTTCTGTGTTGCGGTCCCTGTGATGTCGGGACGTACGGGCGCCGCCAGC